GATGCGTATAATGAACTAAGTGAAAATTTTGGGTTTCTAACAAACTTACTGGAAAGTGACGATAGATCAATTAAAGAGAGTTGCAGTAAACTCCAAAAAATATATAGTAAGGATTTAGACGTAGACTTCGGCAATGAATGTGTCCAATTTAAATATTTTATAAAAACATTAAATCTTCCTCCTACTGACGGTCAAAAAATTCTGACCTGGCTTCAAATAATACGTAGCAAAAACTTAACTTGCACGTTTTCAAATATGGACGTGATGTTACGTATTTATATATGTATTCCAGTAACAAATTGCACTGGGGAAAGATCATTTTCGGTAGTTAGACGAATTAAAAATTATTTGCGGAGTAATTTGGGTGAATCGAAAATCGGGGACTTGGCAATTTTAAGTATAGAGTCAGAGCTCGTAAAAGAAACTTCTTTTGACAATATAATTAATACTTTTTCCAGTCACAAATGCCGAAAGAAACATTTTTAACAGAAAGGTTAAGTTATTTTGTTTCATTATGCTCCTTTTATTTATTTCAAATTTTGTTCCTAAAGAGGCAGTACCTAATGTTAATTTATGTTTTAGAATATTTATTTTGTTTTATTATGTTCCTTTTATTTATTTCAAATTTTGTTCCTAAAGAGGAAGTAATGTACCTATTTCCTGTAGAATAGAAGTTGTTAATTTATGTTTTAGAATATTTATTTTGTTTTATTATGTTACTTTTATTTATTTCAAATTTTGTTCCTAAAGAGGAAGTAATGTACCTATTTCCTGTAGAATAGAAGTTGTTAATTTATGTTTTAGAATATTTATTTTGTTTTATTATGTTACTTTTATTTATTTCAAATTTTTCACCATTTTAACGTTATACTAACGTTATTTTCTGTTTTTATAATATATATCTTATATCTAGGTATTTTGTGATTTATAATTTTCCCAAAGAAAGTTTTTTACTTGAACCTATTATAGGTATTATTTTATAGGTATACATTATATGTATAATGTATAATAAATTTATAAGTGTTTTTTTTAACTCCCGAAATTGTAACCCCTGAAATTTAACTTTAACTCCCGTATTTAGGGGTATTGCTATTACTGACTGATCCCCAATTCTTTATGTGAAATATACGTTGCATAAAAATGAAAGTCTCTAATAGGCGCCAATATTTAGTTGGCCTAAGGCGCCAAAAGACCTTAATACGGCCCTGTGTGGAACCATTTAAAATCTGCGCAAACGTAAGTGCAAGAGAGATGAGATATTTGGCCTATTTCATTGCGGATTGACAGACACATTGAATGATTCTTAGATGAAAATTGTTTTAAATATAAAAAAGAAGAGACCATCTTCAATCTTAACCCTATTTTGTTGGTTGTTTCCATAGACCTATTAAGTATGGACGCGGCTTTATCGGTATTTTGAGGTTATTCAGCGTTCCCAATGATAGAGAGAGAGGTCCGTGAGAGATGGAGCTAGTTTGGGCTAAAAGTAGGCGGGATCAAAAAATATATAAAATATATACAGGATGTGTGGAAAAAGGCGATTAATCTGTTAAATTATTTATACGCTTAATATTTAAATATTGTTTTTATCTTGGTATCCACTTGGACAGAAGAATGACCTGGATGAAACATATTTTTTACAAGAGAAAGCAGTTAGGTCTTAAATTGCGAAATCTGTACTGGCTAATAGGTAGGATGTTCCAATTAACAATACAAAATAAGAACTGTATTTGCAAATGCGTGGGAATTTAGGCTCAGCTGAAAAATGCATTTTGCTTGGTAAAAAAATAATAAATCCTCAACCCTATTCTACCATAAGCTACCCTCCTCTACCCCAGCTACCTTGCATTTCAGAAAACGTAACTCACGTGGTCTTTTGCTTTCTTACTATTGGCTAATGCATTGTCCAATCTCTCATTGCCATATGCCCAAACTAGCTGCATCTCTCTCATTCATCGACAACACTACCTCTTTGTCTAAACCGCGTCCATAGTTAATAGGTCTATGGTTGTTTCCGTTTGATGTTTGTTTATGTTCAGTGTGTATTATTTTTTAACAGTATTTCTTTGTATTATTTAGTATATTTATTTATAAAGGTTATAAATTTTTTATATAGGTCAATGGGATTATTTCTTTGAAATATAAAATGGCTAGCCGATCAAATAGCATTTTGGGAAACTTTGTACTAACCTCTTATTCTTTCTTAGACTTGACCTGCATATATTTTTTTAACCCTAATCCCCTTTCTGGGCGGTAAAAACAAATTTGTATCGAGTCCATTACAAATTAAATCCGACGGATTGTTGGATAATGACAAATGACATCTGAAGTATGTCTTAAGTTGTCGTTGTCTAGTTGTCAGAACCGTATTTTACCTGAGGTGCGTTCGTTTGTTCGTTTAGATGGCAAGTTAATTATCCACAGTATGCGCGCGCAGCACAGGTTAAACTGAATAGGTCTATACTACGGGATACATTGTGACATATAATTTGATGTACAGGGTGTTTTTTCATTAAGGAAATCGGAAAAATTGATATACGGGGCGTTTTTTACCTTGAATGAAAAATTATTCTATATCGAATAGAAATATAGTACAGGGTGACTCGTATTTAAGGAAATGTTAATTACATAAACCGAGCGAGCGAAGCGAGCGAGGACCCGGCTATATAACAGCCATAGAGAAAGAAAGATGAGAGAGTTCGATCCTTTACTAAAAATTGGCATAACGTTGACGGTGCTGCCTCTCATCGGATAGCAACATTTTTCGCGAACTAAGCGTAGATTCCTTCTATATTTAAAAACAAAAATTGGCGGAAAATTTAAAATTAATTTTTGCAATTCTACTCTATTTTCTTACATTTGACAATTGTGTAGTCATTTAGTCATTTAGTCACATGTGTTAGTCATTTCTCAGAAACGGCTTATCAAATGCATACACAATTAACAAATTGAAATATTTAAAATACAATTAAATAATAACATTAACTACAGAGGATCATTAGATCTAGGTGGTAACGGGGCTGGAAAGACCGCCCGCATAAAAACAACAAATAATAACATTAAAAGTGTTTCATGTAAAATTTTATTAAAAATTATGCACAATACAATTAGTACATCCTTAACTAATGAAGTAAAATACATTGATATAAAGACAAACATAAACTATTAAATATAAATATTATATAAAATAGAAATATGGTAACCATTGGAATTAAATAATAAATAGAAAATTTAAATAAATAACAAAAACGAATATACAATACAATAATATAATAATATACAATATAGTACAAACTTTGTTACTAGAAATTTAAAAAAATGCTTCTGAAGATTTTTATCTTCGAGGGGGTAAAAATACAAGCTATTGCACCTTGGTGATGCACATTTATGAATCTTTCTTCGCATTGGGGTTGACACTTTAAATAAGCAAACACAATTAGAAATAAAAAATATAAAAACTCACCAATTTAGGTTATGCACAATAATGGCGTCTACACTAAAGTCACGAAACATACTAAAAAATACAACTCGACTCGACAGTCGACAAGAACGGCACAGAACGGCAAGGTCCAATCCGTCCAATCTTTTTGACCAATTAATATGTTTCATTTTTCGATAGCAGCGCCTCTCGAAGGATAATAGGAAATTATCACGTGGTCTGATATTTCCTATGCTTTAAACAGTCTCTTTTATTTTGTCTATGATAACAGCCTTTGCGTAGGAGGCCGTCGTAGCAGGCCTCCGAGCTGCGGGTCTATGCGGCAGAGCCCATCGTTATTCACAGCAATTTAGTCGAGCTCGCGCAGCGGGCGAAATTGATACACGAGGTGTGATTAATTTCCAAACGAAAATTCAATCGCACCGAGCTCGCGAAGCGAACGAGGCTCCGGCTAGCAAACTGTCTTGCGGCGAAGCCGCCACCATTAGAAAGGGGGGTTGAAAGGGGGCGCAGCCCCCTTTCCGAACGATTAGCGAGTCTATGCGATATGAATACAATCTTGATCCGCGTAAAAATCGTCCCACATAGTAAACTAGCATAGTAAAAGCCGACGCGACGGTTTCCAAACAGCTCTCTATTTCCCGCAGGAATAGGGTCCAGTTTTTCTGGAAACGCGTTCGGTGCCGGCCGAAAATAAATTTCCGATATATTTAGAATCGAGATTTCGAAGATATAAACACCCAAAGAGTGAGTAATTCAGTGTTCGGTCGTCTTATTTTGCGAAAACTCACGGAAAGTCGGACACGAGGCGACGCGTCGAGATGATGAATTGGAGTTTATGAGAGAAAAGAGGTGTGCTTGTGCCGGTGGAAAATCCTTTCCGGTGATATTGAGGAAATTAGCGGCGGCAAGATCAAAGGCGATGTGAAAAGTGATAGTGGAACAGACGGACTCGTGCTCGATCAAAATGAGCATTTGCACTTGACCAACATTTTAACAAACTGTTATAATTCGATTCCGGTTCTATATGAATTAATTTCGTTTCTTTAAGAACTCGAAGGAAATTCAATTGCTTTGTTGATCTTATACTCTTCTACATCTCGATTTTTTTTGACTAATTTATACGAAAGGTATTTGTTTTTTTCACATTCTCAACTACACTAACCTAATAACTTTAACCAAAATACACCCTCATCATTAAACTAAACAGATCAATTATTTTTTACGACTTCATTATACACCAATTTCCTACTATAACATACAACTAAAACAATCAATCTACGCCATTAACGAATTGCAAAAAAATCGATTTTCTATTTTCAGATAGACTTGTCAAAACATATAAATTCATCTAGAATCAAATAAACATTCCCGTGGAAGAGATTTTACGTATGAGAATTTGTTTATTCGCGGATTAAGCTTCTTATAAACAATCTCTATGTCATTGCGGTTAAGTGCTGCTGAAAATTCGGCCGATTGAATTGAAAATCCGTGGAAACGAGTTCAAAAAAAAAACCTTCGTTATTTTTACGTAGATCGCACGAAAGATTTTCTAGGAAACATGTCGCGACCGATGAATATGCTGAGGACCAGACGGAAGGATTGCAATGTCAAGCCTAATAGAAGGTAATAATAATCAAGTTTAAAGTAATTGTAGATTTTCTAATAAGTACAAAACAAAATCTAACGAACAATATGCGTACATAAGTACATTAATTGAATATATTTCGTTGTAGCGACATTGTTATCAAGTAATAATTAATAATAAAATTATGCATGTAATAAATCGTGATAAAAGTGTTCTTATGCGGGCTTTTAAAGTGTAATTAATGCGATTAGGGACGCAAGTGCCTGCCCTCCACTTCAAATCGCGAATGGGACATATGCGTCAGATTTAATTTCATTATACAGGGTGTTCCAAAAAGGTTGTGCCAAACTTAAAAGGAGGTTATAGGGAACATTGTGGTGAACAATTTTTGCAAAGATACTATTGGTCAAGAATGAGCCGTTTTGGCTCCAGAGTCATTTTTGTTTAAAAAGTTGTTCTTAACTTCTTGAATGTAAAAAACGGTAGAGTGTGGTTCCAATATGACGGTGCACCGACACATTTTGCTCGCCCTGTTCAGGATTACCTAAACCAACAATTTCCTGCGCGATGGATTGGAAGAGGAGGACCTATTTGGTGGCCACCGCGAAGTCCCGATTTAACCCCATTGGATTTTTCCCCTGGAATTACATGAGGTTTGTTCCTACAACAGTCAGAAATAGTCGGTGGTCGTCAGGAGTCTGCGCAGTAATAATTTAGGCGTTCCAACAAACTCCACAGACATCTCTAATTCTGACTTGGTTAACAATTTATTGTTCCAACAGTTCAAGGGACTGGTTTTGTGATAGTCAGAAAAATTTGCTGATAGTACAGAGATTTAGAATCCGGCGCAAGCGCATTTTTAATTCGGATTTAATTTGTATTTCTGAATATAGGTTAATTATTAGGTTATGTTGTTTGTTGTTTTTGTTTGATACTTGGTGAATATGTAATAAATGTAAAGACTGTTCCATCAAGAAATCGGAAATTTGATTACACCATTCAATCATAAACCGCGCATGCGAAATAGAAGAGTCAGAAACTTATTGGTAACAAATCAGTGACTTTTTGTAGGAACAAACCTATGAAGTCGTTGGTGTAGGAAACTCCTGTAGATACCCAAGAATTATTAGAAAAATCTTCCAACGGGTGCGGGATTCAATGATTCAGAGGAACAATTTATGTAATGAAGTAGAGGGTCGCAATTTTGAATCCTTATTGTGATTCATTCTACGTATTTGTAATTAAAAATAATAAGATAATGACGTTTTTTACATTCAAGAAGTTAAGAACAACTTTTTAAACAAAAATGATTCTGCAGCCAAAACGGCTCATTTTTCACTAGGGGTATCTATGTAAAAATTGTTCACCACAATGTCCCCTATAACTTTGTAAATTTGGCACAACCTTTTTAGAACACCCTGTATTTTGTTATCAAATGGTAGAGCCAACATTGAGACGTATCGGAAGCAAACGGTCCCTGTCTTAAATATAAAAATTTCCGTGTAGGTTTTTATAATATCTAAATATTTTGTGTTATTCGATCAATTTATTACATACAAGCAAATAAAGTGAAAAAAATTAATTCATATCCCCCGTGTTTAAAAAAAAACAAAGTAATAAATATTTCGATAATTTTATGTACGAAATATAATTAATATTTTTTTTACATAATTTACGCAAGAATTTACATTTGCTTATATACGTGTACATATATTTACGTTAAATCATTAACGGTAATAAATATTTCAACAACTCACATAGAGCTAACATTTATTTTTATGTGCCTATTATTATGATATAACTGGAGCACTTGTATACAGGGTGTAAAGAAAATAGGTTTAAATAATTCGGAAGCGTATAGATGACATCAAAATAATTGTATAACTTTATATGAATTTTGTTAATTTGAGCCCTCATTTGAGCTAGAGGCCTTTAATTGTTTTGAATTTTTGTTTATCCAAAAATCTCTATCATCTCAATCTAAAAATTTAAATTTGTCCTAAACTGTTAATTTTATCGACTTCAAACAAGATTACATTTTTGTTAGTTCAACGATTAAAGAATTTATTTACGATATGTTTCCCTTATACAGATTGTCCCCATAAAATTTACGAATTGTTAATTACTGAGAACACCCCGCCACTGTCTTCTAGGGAGTAGTGTAGAATTAGTTTAATCGCCAAATTGGGCACACGGGTGTAGGTAATAAACCATCAAAAAATTTATATTGTTCCCATGTATAACTTTTGGAAATAAAACGTAAAAGTAAGTTTTAAATTTACAACTTTAAAGGTCTTTAGCTCAAAAATGGGGGCTCAAATTAACAAAATTAATAGTTATATTCTTATTTTGATGTTAATCATACGCTCCCGAATTATTAACATCTGTTTTTGGGACACCCTGTATATGTACAATAATTAGAAAAGTTTAAGAAAATTTTTAAGAGAATTTTTAAAATACGTTTTTGGAAAATCCACCGTATTTTATAGATTTAATAATTCTTATCGGCAATTGCGTTTCTTTTAAATGTAAAATAACACAGTAATTTTTCTTGCAGGGAATACAGACCGTCTAGGTAACTTGTGCACTAACATTTTGTGTTATTTTAGTACTAATTATAAAAGCACGCCAAACACGCTGGTGAGTTTTCACGCAAAAACGCGTTCAATCATCCCCGAATATAACTATACCCACTCTTATCTTCTAATAAATGCGACAAATAATAAACAACTATAGATATTTATCTACATGATTAGTTATTTTAATAAACAATTTTCCTATCGAACGGATATCAAAAATCCTAATTGATTGACACGACTATTTACAAATTGCCAATGATTAATGGCGAACATTTGCAAAATTGCTATATTTATAAACAGACATTGAAAATTCGAGTCATTTGGCGATGATGTGAAAAGTATTCATTTAAATTTTCTATAAACACAAACACGCCAGAATTTGTTAAAAGAAGTAATAGGTAAAAATAGACGAAATGACGAAATCTGCTTCCTACATTTCAATTAACTTCTTCAAGCACAAAATGTACCGCCAAAACGTACCAAAGCCAGTTGATATTAAAATAGTATCTACAGTTAATTAAATATCAACTACATTCATTTAGCTACAATAAAAGAAGAGTAACTGTAGACGTGACATGTGCAACTATCAAACGATTTTAAATGACTTAAACCATTGCGCATCGTGTTCTCACGTCTACAGCTATTCCTGTCGATCTGTACCATATCATTAAAAGAAATTTTTTAGCACACTTCCTAATCTATCAAGCAATACAATGCTTCCATTAGATGTTTTTTCCAAAAAAAATATTTAATTAGAACCAAGTACCTTTGTTCGAGACGCAAAGAATAGTTCCAATTTATTTGTTTCCGGCCAGTGTGAGTTTGACAAAAGTTTAACGAATCGCTTGTTTAAAAAAGTTTCCAATCTCGAGCATCAACCGATCGGATAAACGAAAATCGAAAATAATGGTATGCATTTCAGGTTGGATAGGAAATCCTCTCGAGGGATGATTTACGAAAATGAGGAACTTCGACTGAAAACAATCAACATCAACGCGGAAGTGGAAAGCAGTAAGTATTTGCGAGAATAATTCGATGAGTGTACGAATCGGATTAAAGAGAAAACAGAAAGAGCATTCGGTTTTATAGATGTTTACCGGGCGAAATATAATTCAGGTTTCGACAAAGCGCAGTGCAGGTAATTTTAGCTGGTCTCATTTTGTGTAAATCAACTGAACCCCGTCAGTCTCGGGATAATAAAACTTCAAATAAATACGCAAAAATTGAGCAGGGAGCAATGTAGACATAACAAGAGCACACTTTGTGAAATTAATTTATAGAGAGAGAGTACATACTAATTTTCCTTTTGTAATTTAATTAACTATAAAAACGCAGTCGTCCTGAAAATATGAAGATATCACGTTATTCAATAATTAAACTTTTTATATGATTACTTATACAATTAGCTAGGTTCATTAATTTCTTTAGATGTTAAATAAATTATAGATACAGTTGGTGCAAAACAAATATCAATGCTCGTCACCTAAAATTTACTACGTCACAAGTAGGTAGTGTTGCCAAACTTCTATAGAGTTTAAAAATCTAAGAATTTTCTAAATTTGTGAAATGGCAAAATGACAAGAACAAATTGAAAATTAGGGGTACCTGTTTCACGTTTCTAAAAGGAGGTATTCAGAAGCTCACTACATTTAATCATCAAATTCCTTTATCATCTGAAATATATTTAACAGTGCAAGTAAAAAATTTAGTGTATAATTGACCCTTAAAAGAGTACATATTGAAATTTCTGAGAAAATTTCTGAATCTGAATTATTTAGAGCTCAAATTGTGTCATTTCTAACATGTGGAAAAGATAACTACGCAAAAAAATTCTTAGTTCCCGATTATTCGACTGAATAGCCTTTAGTGGTGGAGGCTAGTAAACTAGAAAAAAGTAGAAAAAATTGAAAATAAAAAATATCGAACGGATGACAACGGCAACTATGCAACTTGACAGTCAGTGCCTACCAACCTACTATAACAAAAAAATATTTTTTGGATGATTTAATTCTGCTTTTTAACATTTTCTATCATCCTTTGTTGTTGTTGTTGTTGTTTTTATGCGGGCGGTCTTTCCAGCCCCGTGACCACCTAGATCTAATGATCCTCTGTAGTTTCCCGCTGTTTCCCAAGGTCATTGATTCTGCCAGAGGTCGCAAGTATTTGCAAACCTCAGCAATTCGGATGCCCTTGTGTTTTTGAGATCGCTAGGATCTAATGAGGTTCTTCCCCAGGTATTATACCTGCGCAAGGATAATGCTGGACAGTGACAATGCTGGACAGTGACATCCTCTGTTATCATCCTTTGTTAATATTAAGTTAAATTCTGCAGGTCTATTTTGTGTATTTATTTTTAAAAGTTGGACACAATGCTTGACAAATATGACGACAGTAATGACGTGCATTGATATTTATTTTGCACCAACTGTATGCATTGTACAATATTCGGAAATATGCTCAAAATAATTAATAAGAATAGTCAGTCCGAAATCTAATCTATTTTCGAATTCGTAATGCTTTTATCGCGGATGTAAAATAATATTAACATTGGCGAATTAACTTTGACCCACTTTACAAAATTGGCAAAAATCTTAAAAGTAAAATCCGCCTTTTACAGCTTGTTAAGAGACAGTTTGGCACACTTGTAATGTCGTCGGTGTATTTTCAAACGCTCGTTTTGGATCTCGATCAAAAGGCAATCAACCTGATTTTCACAGACGTATTAGGTCAGGGTCAACAATCCGTATTTTTTTAGAACGATAAAGCAACACAAAAAACCAAGCGAATATAATATATTTTTCCGAATTTTTCGCGAGAATCTATAACGGATATAAATATTTATTTTCGATCGTGTATAATTATATTTTATAATTTAAACAGGAAGGATGTATGTATGTAGGTAACATATGGTGCAGAACGTTTTCTTAATCGATTTTACGAAATGTTACGCACCTCATATGTACCTGGAAGGTTTTTGACTAACTTATTTTTTCGCCATAATTTTGTTAAGAAAATATACAAATTTTATTTTCGATGAGAGTGAATTGATAAAAGAGCACGTAATTTGTTTTCAGGAGTTTCCGATATAAAGAAGCTGAAAAAAGAAAACGAAATGCTAAAGAAAGGCTTATGGTATCTGAGAGACGAATACGATAAATTAGAGAGATTAATAAAAGACAAAAAAATCGATTTTTCATCATCTTCCACCACAACAGGATCGACTTCGAGCGACTCGGTAAGGGTTCTATCATGAACTAAAACTCCCTAAAATTTATTAATTGCCACAATTAATTTAAATCAAAAAACTTATACGACCATCCTGCAATTTATCTTCAAAACCTTTATTTTTTATGCTACCAACTTTTTTAAATAACATCATCAATTTAGTTAGTTTACATACATTTTTATACAGGGTGAGTCATGAGGAACTCTACATACTTTAACCAGTGTATAGAGGCATGTGTAATTTTTCTTAAGTTAATTGACAATTTAATAAGTGCGGCAAAATTTTCTGAATGTCATGTCAGGCTTTAAGAGTTTCTTAAACCTTCTACAATAATCAAATGAAAATGTATAAAAGACGTTTATAAATTAGGTTTGAAATTTTTTGAGGATTCTGGATTACTTTAATTGTTAATATGACAATATGTTACTGATTCAAAAAGTATACTTTTATCAAAAAATAAACCAAATCGAAATCACCACCACGAAGATGTAAACGAATAAACGAGAGAAAATTTCCTCAAGTGCCTCTATCCACCATTAAAGTGTGTACAGTTCCTCATGACTCACCCTGTATACCTTAGGAAAGTTGCAGTTCATACAGCGAAGGCGGGGAAGAAGTCGAAACCACACAGAACCTGAAGAACGTGCAAAAAACCAACCTAAAGAACCTCCAAGACCAATTCGACCATTTATCAGTGGTGACCGAGGAGACGAGCGCCGAAAATTCCGAGCTGCACAGCAACCGGGTGTCCCTGACCAAAGACACCTGGAGCACCACCGAGGATATCCTCAAACCCGACCAGTGCTACCCGGACTTCATCACGTCAGCGAAATCGCCCACGCTCCCGATGGCCGATGACGTTCGCGTGAACTTCTTCTCGCCCATCAGGACGTCCCAAACGTACGAGGATGCGCAGCCAGTCGCCGACGACGAGGTTATTTACCCGGGGGAATTTTATAGCGACCAACAGCAATTCGGTAGTGACGATTTCGTGACGCAGAAAATGGTGAAAACCAACTCCAACAGCTTCTACCAGAACATGATACTGGTGCCGAAGACGACGGCGCCGGAAATCGAGCTCGAAGGCATGGAGAAATCGGCCACCGATCTCATCGTTAAAATCGATAACAGGGACTTCAACGATAAATCGGCGTTGCTCAGCAACACCCCCAGCCTGAGCACGTTCTCCAACGGCGGGAATTTAGAGGAATTGCTTAACGATATAGAATCCATTTCGCAGGTAAAAAATTGTTTCCTTTCATAGCTTCAATTTAGGCGAGTCCATCCTTAACTGCTCGAATTTAAATTTTCTGTTGAAATTTCATCACCTAGCACAAAACGATTTTTAACAGGATATTTTGAAGACATCAAATTTGCAGAAAGCAACACCGCTTCTTCATCCACACTACGGTTATGCGGAAGGATTCGATTTTGGGCAGCCCATACTAGGCGATGACACCTCCGACAAACAGTTTAAAAGCGAATTAAACGTCGTATTGGTACCCAAACCGATGCCGTTGATTGGTTTCGACAAATACAAAAACGTACAAAGGTACCTACAAAACATTTTTTAATACTAATTACCATTGACTAGATTTTCCAGGAGTTTCGAAAACTTAACCACGAAGCCTCCGGAGGAAATCGAGCAATTGATACCGGCGCCTAATCTACCCCACATTCCGGCCATTCTTCCGGAGGTGATGTCGAATCCGAATCCGGAGGTCGAGCCCAATCCATTCTTCTTCGGAAACTTCAAGGATAACTACGTGAATGCCGATCACTTCGCCATGAGGTACAATCCCGACGCGTACGACTGCGAAACCGATAACGTCCAAGCTTCGGATGGAAATAAAAATTATCCAGAAAGAACGATTGATGTTAAGAAGTCGACAGACGCAGGTAGGAATCGAGGATTTATTCGTACATGCATTTGTACCAATAGGTGGTCCTAGAGAGTAATGTCTGGATCATAGACCAAACAGGTCTAGGGTCTGGATGTAGGAAAAATATTTATTGTAGAAAAATCTTTGGTCGTTCAGTTGAAATAAAGATTAACGAAAACGAAAGATTTCTGTGGAACTTCCACAAATCTCTCGATCACTAAATTCATCACTCGTTCATGAAATTGCTACTGAAAAATTGCATTCCAAAAACATGTGCGACGAAAACACATGAGGCAATCTTCTATGAGGACGTCATACAAAAACTTTTCCCACGCGATGGAAAATGTCGAGAATTGTGTAGAAATATGGCTTAAGTAAGAGTCGCCGATTTTTGTGCAATAAGTATTTTTCTTATGTCTGTCCTAAGATTTTTTCAAATCACCAAACGGAACCTAATTTATGGAAACACCTAATTAATTCTAGTTTGTTTGCTATACAGAAAGGCTTCAAAAATTCGGTTCCAAAACCAACCTGCTCGAACTGACATCGTCAGAGCACGTGTCCAGCGAAAACGAAGCAAAACCCGAAAAAACCGACGGTAAAACGACAGAGAAGCCTCGCGCCGAACCGAAACTGAGCATCAGAAAGAAAGTATCCATTCATTTCAAAGGCAAAAAGGAGAAGAACAAACTATCGAACGGCTCGGACACGTCCGCCTCGAAGACGCCCAACGAACGGAGGGGCTCCATGTTCGATGTGCGCTTCAGCGACAAACCCACGCACCAGAAAACCTCCAGCAACGACACGCAGAAATCCACCGGCGACATTCACGTCGAGCCCAAGACGCCCTCCAGCTCGGACAGCAAAAACAGCGACAAGAAATCCGACAAGAAGGAGTCCGGCAGCGACAAAAAGTCCAGGAAAAGCGCCTCGACCAGCCCGGATCGCAAGCACGTCCATGTTAAAGATGACGGTAAGTATGCAAATGGTTTTAATGGTGAATTCCATTCACTTGAATTTAGTAGGTGTCTGTTATCCAGATTTAATTCTAATCTACTCGTAGACCTTTTACCTCGTAGAATCTACTTTTGACCCCAACTCCAATTAATCCTTTCTTGCGCCATATGTTTCCAAACTTCCTCCATCTTTTACAAATTATCTTGTGCAATGGTGATCTTTCTACACTCCTCTTTGGTCTACCAAATTAGGCCTGTTATTACACTAGATGTACACTAGATATCCTGGATGTCATATCTCTTAACCCCTCATCTTCTTCACTATTCTAGCCTTCTACTAGTCGCTCTTAAGACCTCTATTGTTCTATCGGCAGGTCAGCAACAGTCGAAGAAGCACAAGAAGCACAAACGGAGCGAGAAGAAGGGCCAGCGACGGTTGAGCTCTCTGGACCAGCGGGTGATACGAGAAAGGTCCTTCAGCGTGTGCACCGATCGCTCTAACATAATGGAACACCGATTGGGCCACATCTTCGGCTCGAACTTGTACTTCGACGATTTCTCGGACAGGGAGCGGACGAACAGCATGAGCAGCTGCGAAACGGCGGAGAACAGGAGGAAAATGTCGATGTTGCCCAACGCCGCGTTGAGCGGGAAAGTGCCGTGGTGCGGGTGTTGGGGCAACGGGTGTTTGTGATAATCGAGGAAATTAGTTGATAAACGTGCCGATCTCTCTGCGTTCGCGAATTGAAATGTTTATAATGCGTGCGTTGGTTGGCTAATGGAAAACGCGGAGAATATGGAGATTGAGGTGGATTTACATTTTATAGGGACGTTGGGAATATGGCGGAATTAAATATTCACTCCGGACGAAACTTTTCTGGAATACAATTAGCGCACGAATTTGCTGCCATCCTTAAGCATTTAGAAGAAGGAATCAATTTAGTTGCATAAGTTTATTTTACATTATTTTTTAATAAAATACGAGTACATTAAGTTTAGGCTTGTTTTTCTAGTTCAACAGACTAATTACGGGGTTTTTCGTGGAGGCCCTTCACTTTTAGAAGTTCATGAAGAGTTACGAATCTGAAAATTTAGGAATAAGATAAGGTCAATGTTGTGAGTTTTTTTAGATATTTCCAACCATATTTGACTTCCGGTTATACAAGTAGATGTAAACTTTATTATTTTAAATTAAACATACAATTTTTGGATTCTGTGACCCTATTCTAGATTTGCCCAAAGCGCGATATTTTTAAGTTTTCGATTATTTTTGGAAAAAGAGTCGAATGTATTTTCTATAATATATCTGGTAATAATACACATAGAAGTTTGAAATTTGGTATCGATAATGTCCAGACACAATGCTAATTAAAACTAAGCTGAGATTTTATGGTCCGTATACAGGGCGTTTAAAATCGTCTGACTAACTTGGCCAACTTAAACTGGCCATAACTTTGTTATTTCAAATGAATCACCCTGTATTTTTAGTCATTGAGTAATGGATATTTTTAAGCTTTTTCGATCCATATAGGTATTCCCTAAATCCAAATCCAGTCGTTATTGAAATAATCGAACTTTTGTTCATTAATACTATGATGATTCTCTTCTTGAGTTTGCTAGATATGGCTATTTGATGCCTTTATTACACCATAACTCTCTTATAACTTTAGCATTAAAATCACAAACTCACAACATTGCCTTAACTCCTATTAAATTATCAGATTCATAACTTTTCAAGAACTTTAAAGAGTTCCAATGAATGGCTCCCATGAAAAATCCTGTATTCATAATGCAATTTTACACATAATTAAATTATTTAAGCACCAGCCTACAGAGTATCGAAATTGTATTAGATAACAGCAATTTTCGAACGAGAATCAACTGGAACTTAAATTCAAGTGTGTATTAACAAGCTAGTCGATGCGTGCTCGATGTTATTAGCAATATTTCGATTGGTCGAAGAAGACGAAAATACCAACCGGTATATGACCTGTGAATTCTCGAAACACGAAAATAAATCAACGTGAAATGACACTGTATAAATAGCCCGGGGAATGTATAAACAATCCGAACGAAAAAGACTAGTCTTCGGCGAACAGAACTTGCGAACGGCATTAAAAAATTATAAATATAAACGCTTTTAAAACGGAAATGCTCCCGGTCCAATAAATGTTTTACGTTCGTAGCGACGCCGGCGGGAAACCCGCAAGAGTATACCTATTTGTAAAAAAATCATTAAAATTCAAATTTAAACGTGTGAGGGCGGTGATTAAAATTGTAATAAATCATTACGAACATTAAAAAAAATGGTGATGGAATAATTCAAGAATTTGTATGTACAGGGTGTTGATTAATTGAGTGCCGATACTTCAGGATGTGAATATTTGGTTGATTTTAAGAAAAAAAGTTTATATCAATGTATGTCCTAAACCTCTTAGTTTTCGAGCTACAGGGTGTTACAGTTTTAGAAATACCTTTTCTATAAATATTTTCTCATTACTCCAGATATTTGGATGAAATTTTGGACGTGGATGTTATTGGTAATAGTAGAAAATAAAATTTGTAAAAAGTGTTTCCATACATGGTGGGCGCCTAACAAATTTCAACAAAATATCAAAAGCAAAATCTCAAAGTCTCAAAATGGACTTGGGAAAAATTGTTTTGGTTTTTTTTACGCGAAAATGGTGCGTCGTACGAAAGTAAGTCATCGGACCGAATTTGATCCAAAATAAATGAGGAATTTAAAAATAATTTTAGTTTTTAGAAAAAGCAGTGGTGTACCAATTTTTTCTTCAAACATATTCAGCACTGGTAAAAATTTTAACAAATCTTTAGCCTTAGTGCGTACAAATTTCATAAAAATATCTGGAGTAATAAGAAAATTATAATAGAAAAATTGTTTTATTCTAAAATTGTAACAACTCTGTGATGTAGCTCTAAAACTAAGAGGTTTAGGACATACATATATTGATATAAACTTTTCTTCTTAAAATCATCCAAATATTCACCTCCTGAAGTATCGGCACTCATTTAATTAACATCCTGTATAAGACCTTAAAAATTATTAAAGGATAGAATAAATCTGCGTGAACTTAGCACCCTTACCATCACCAAATTTAGTGTTCAACTAGCTGAGCAGAAACTCGCAATTGAAAATGGTGGTGCTAAGATTATAAAGCCAGCACCCCTAAATTTAAATATTGGACTAAATAAAAATGTAATAACACAGGGTGGCCCAGAACTCACGTACCACCTGGAAATCCCTTATAGAAACGACAATAGTGATTTGCTTCCAAATCGATCATTCAGGAGCTTGGTCGAGCCGATATCAAGCCTACAGAATTTTTTATCGCTTCAAAAGTGGTTCGAATCGAATGATCCATTTTTTGATCGATTTTAAAGCAAATCTTTAATCAATAATTACAGCTAATTTTGGCAACTTTTGTTAACATTGAAAGTGAAAAGAACATAGAATCTTTCAATAATGTCAAATTGGTGTATAGCTAATTCACGTTATTTTCGTGGATTTGAATTCCCACTGGGATTGGTCGATTTTGACCCTCTTTATTTACCAAAGGAATAACTTTTTCATGTTTTCGACTGCAGTTTTGGCATCACCATTGTCGTTTCCATAAGGCATTTCCCGGTGGGGCGTGATTTCTTAGCCACCCTGTATATTATAAGAACTTAACTCAGGAATCAGTTTTTATTTTTTAAAGGTGGTGGTGCTAGGTTGACGCAAGTATAGAAAAGTTTATCTTGTATAATAGTGAAATAGATATGGACCAGAATATTTTGGCAACCTCATCATAACTAACGCGCGAATTTAATGAAAATCCTCCGATAAGAGATCTTCAATTAAATTAAACGAGGGTCATCCGGCGGGTAGGTTTCTGCAAACGAGCTCCCGGGGGAGCAAACAGTATACAGTTTATAAGCACATTACCATTGTCCAATATTTGCTAAGAGGGTCGGGCGTTGAGACGCTCCCATCGATCTATTTTTATTTGAACTAAGGGTTGGTGGTTGTTTATCTAAAGGGATACGCAAAATACGTCGAAAAGTTAATAACATGCGAAAGGAAAATTTTTGCACAACGAATCTTCCGCATAAACAAACGCTCTCCCAATTGGATTCCAATTCGAATTCGGAGAATCCGCCCGAAAACATCTGGAAACTCGATCGAAAAAACCGCTCGCTCGAGAAGGGCATTTAATCAGAAGCAAATTGGTTCTACATTTAACGACTGTAACAGAAACCAATAAAGGAAATGAATCGGTTCATTCAGTACGAATAAAGCACCAGAACAAGAGAAGAATAACTATGATTGTTTTGATGAAACCGATAAAGATTTTACCGAGAAACTAAAATAATGTGTAAATGTTGCTTCTAATAAACAATTTCTTATTTTTACCCACTCTAATTTGGAGACTACAAAATAGTATCTACTGGACTCTTGGGGCTTATACATCCCCCTTAAACGTGCCAATCTATTTATTTATTACAGCTCTCGAGGTGTGGCATTTATATTTTCTCTCCAACGAAAACCAGGAAGAAGAAGAAGAAGATGATGATGAAAAATCGGAAATTAGAAGCGCCCTGTAAATTCGCTCTATTTAATTCACCTTTTTCCGAGAACTCGAATTTAGTGCAAAGTTCTGTAAACAAAATCTATCGGTTTAATTACAAGCAAACCGAATTACGTTCGCTTCTTTACGGGTCGATTAGCGTCGCAGGCGGAGCGTGCAAGTTAACAGCAAACTACAGGGCGTCGAGGAATTAATATCTACGGCACTTCCGGGACCGAAAACTGTGAGAAGCTAGAATTGAAGTCGACGACGCCATTCACATTGTCTTCATTGTTAACGGTGCGACAAAATCAATTAATCGAAAAAGGGAGATGTTTTATAGACACGTTAATTTTATTTGGGGGACGGGACGAGGGCATGGAGGGTGCATAACAAAGCGACATTTCGCTTAGAGAAATTCGATTATTCGCAATCATAAATTCGTCGGTTTGTTTTCGAAGTATAGGAAATATTAATTTTCATACAAGGCCAGTCATGCGAGGAACTGTATAGGTACATATTTTTATCAGTGTAGGGAGAAGATCAAAGCACTATTAAAAGTTGCATTCGCCTTTTCTTTAGGTGAATTATGCATTTTTATATTTCTTCTGTTTATATCTTCTTGGGTCACACTGGGTCATGGGTCACATGTCACCGACATCTTCACACTGGATCTATTAAGAATTAAAATAATCCAGGACCGTCCTCAAAAAAAGGTAAATAATATTTCATCCTGCAGTGTACGTTTTTTTTTTCATTTTAATTTGTTTATTGTACAAGGCATAAGTAACTTGTACAGCCTGACATCCGGAATTTTTTGCCATACTTTTAAAAAATTGTCAATTAACAATCATGTTTTAAGAAAAATTGCACATACAATATTTTTTCTAGTAAACAAATTTTAATGAAAATTGATAATAACAACTAATTGCGTATCTCTTTCTACGAAAGGGTCCTATAGTTACAGAAAACTTAAAAATTAACTCAATTAAAATTATTTTAAGCAAGCAAGTTTTTCAGGACTCACCCTATACAGGGTGTTTACTATAAATTGTTTACTATAAAATTATGTTCATTTCATAATAACAATTAAATCTTTTATAATACCCGGTATGGCACTTTTTTAAACTGATGGATACTAAATACTTTTCTTAGAGCAAATTTAATGCACTTTTACGGCATGCGATCAAAATTAATGTGACTATACAAAAAAACATTAAATAACTGTGAATGTTAAATCAAAGAGAAACTATCAACTTTTCGAAAAAGTGTTATGGGGCATTCTTGATTCGAAATTACTTTTATAATCACCTCCTGAAGAATAGAGGTTTTTTTAGATACCCTGTACAGTGGTGAAGCTATTAAAAATTCGACAGCGAATTCCCACATGTAAAGAATAGTCCTATCGGTTTTATTTTTTCAGTGATTCTATATAAAACATCAGCCCTTCTGGATAAGGAAAATCAATTAACTTTGTGGTGTTTTTTCAGTCACTCTTGAATAACTCAAAAAACTATACTAATAAGTATCCTTTTTAAGCATGGTCTCATTCAAAGAGATCTTTTGACCCCTTAGAGTTGAGTTGGGATGATGCTACTTGGTGGATGACAAGTCAACACCTAGGGCTATCCCTACTGAAAATTTCTCGTCTTTAACTTACAGCCAATAGCCAATTTTACAGTGTATCTCCAAAGCCAGTCAATTCATCCAATAACTCATTTGTGTTTATCGAACGTCCGAGTCCCGGGTGAATTCCACACGTACAAAATGCGCCCGTTAGGTCTCGAACGAATAAAGATGACTTTAACGGCCGCTTTGGAGCACCCCATAAAAATAACCGCCATGAATCTTCCATAAAATCACGTAAGTCGATGGATTTACTCTGAGTTATCTTTCCATTGATTTACTTTGACTTCGGAGCGCGCCAGATGTTCAGACATCACAAAAGGGCCGAAACGTATCCGAAAATCCAGAGGATATGCAACGCGGGTCGATAATAAAATGCGGGAGACGTTGATACCTATACCTTGTAAGATGCAAAGAAAGGAAAATAAACTTCTGAAAGGAAACTTCCGACTGTTTATAAGCTAATTTTACTGGTAGAGCGTGGCTCTTAAATTGGATTATTCCAGTTGAACTGGCATTGGAACTCCTTAACAATTGAGAAGGAATTGTTCCGAAATATTACAAGTTTGAGTTTCTACATACATTTTTAAGGAACTTGTATTATTGAGTTTTTTTAACTTGCAACATTAAATTTCTTGATGATGTTTCTGCAATTCTTTTTATTTGTCCCTTTTTAGTAACGTTCCACCCTCCCTATTTTCTCCAAAGTTAAATTTTATACAGTTGTTTGTATTTTTTTTTTGAGGGTTGTTTCGTTTATTAGGCCTAGAATAGGGGTGATTATTAGGGGCTGGCTCGAACAATTCAAGACAATTTCCTCTTTTTCATCAAACAATTTTTTTACCAATATATCATTTAGCTACAGTTGAGTTATAAAATAGTGTAACTGTTAGAGGAATAAATAAAAATATAACTTATAAAATTGATACCTTGAGATGTTGCTCTTAAGAAATAACAAGAACAAACCATATCGTATTAATAATTTATAATTAATTGTAAATAATAGATCCTGTCGAGATTAAAAGGCATAATTAAAACAATTACTATCTTCTTTTATAAGTATTAATGGAGTTAATGACACCAAAAATGTTTTCTTTGTGGTGTGATGTTGTTTTATCTACAATGTTTCATTTCTGATTCTGCTCATGTAAAATATAATTGATTAATGGAATATTAATTGATAATTACTATTTAGCTTAAATTGGCAATGCATGCTCTGCATGAAGATCATCAATGAAACTTACAACAAATCAAAAAAAACGAAAAGGCAAATTTGATTCAAAACTTGTTTAAAACTTACCTAAAGTACATAACAAAAACAGAACCAGCCTAATCACTATTTTGTTCATTATTGACTAACCGAATGTAAACTCATCCACTTCACATAACCATTTTAGAATGTTTACTCGATTTCGCGTATGAGGAACCTCGTTTGCGATACAAATCTAGGTAAGTACATTAAATTTTAGAGCAAAAGTTCACCTAGTACCGGTTCGTAACTAAAATATCTAGACGTCGTTGTTTATTCGCATTTTCGCCACGCTATGCGAATTAAATGGCACCTCGTTATTTTACGAAGAAAGCTATTTATGTACTTCGAAATTTCATTAATCACATATCACATGGGGGGATGTTGTAACAGAATCGCATTCATTCAATATTTATACGATCGTAAACAACACACAAAGCTTTTGACACTAGCTTCATTGAAATGAAAATGTGTGTGTGAATGACAATGACATTGACAAGAATGACGTGACGCGATAAAATGGGGAGGGGGAGAGAACGCGATTTACCTTAATGTTAGGCAACACGATTTACGCAATCGTTTTACTGGCCTTTTACTCTGTTGGCAGCGAATTGATTATTTGTTATTTAACAGGGTAATTTAGTAGGAAGATTGTGATGAAAATGTGTGGTATATTTTAGGTTTTTCTATACCGGAATACAAGTATTTAATGTAGTTGCTGGTTAGAGGCTTTTTAGTAGAAGAAAGTAACTAAGTAACTAACACAACCACCAAATTGTGAAATCTTGTCTTAAAAACAAAATTTTTTGATTTGATGTAACCCCATTGAAAAAAATTAGGGGTCGTTAAGTCTGGTGATCTCGGTGCCCAGTCAAAAGGGCCTCTTCTGGTCCACGCTGAACACGGGCCATTATTTCTAAGTATTTCAAGATTCTGTATGTAGGTAACACTGTTCTTAATTAGTATGCAGAAAATTAGAAAGATATTTCAATCAGTTTGGTTGTAGAAGCTGATTGAATCAGTTCATGTCAGTAGTGCTCTGCGAATTTTGCAATTGTCAAAAATAATGAACAAAGAGTTTGTCTCATATTTTGGGTTTTGAACGGAATTTTGTAGGGCGAATCGATGTAAATGCTTAAGGTTATTTTGTTTTATCGAAAACCCCTGTTTATGAATGGTACAAAACTTTTAAAGACAGTCGGAAGATCGCTAAAGACTTACCCTATTCCGGACGGTCTTTGACCTCTCCAACTAATGATAGCAGCGGGAAAATGAAGGAAATTGAGTTCGAAAATCAACAAGCTAGTAATAGAGACTTGTTCCGATAGAGCTGAGTTTCCTTTAAAGACGATATCATCAACTGATCGATGCAGACATGCTGGTTTGTGTGAAGTACTATCGACCAGCCGCCTTACTCACCAGATTTAACATCGTGCTACATTTTTTTGTTTCCCAAACTGAAATTGCCACTGAGGGAATCCCGTTTTGACTCCATAAATGCTTTAAAGAAAATTCACAGAAGGAGTTAAAAGCCGTACCAAAAATGGGTCTAAAAATGTTTCGATGATTGGAAAAGGCGTCTAACTGTGTGTATCGCTTCAAAAAGAGCATATTTTGAAGAACGTTCGAGAACTATTAATGAAGATTAGAAATTGTGCGTTTTATTTCAAATTTCCGGGTACTTTTTTTTGTCACAGTAGTATAAATACAACGTTAATATTTAGGTTACAGTCTATTCCGAACAAAATATCCCTTCAAACAGTAGACTTATTTTTTAAACTGAAGAGATTTTTTTTACTCCGCGAACAATCAAATTTAAAGTGCGCATGCGAAATTACTTAGATGTGCTCCGCAAAAACAGGTAATACAGGGTGACTCAGTGTAGATTTCAGCTTTCAAACTTGTCCTGTGCATTCGTAAGTGATTCGTATACTATACTGGCAATTCGGCGTTTCTTTGTCGTCGATAAATTTAGTGTAATCGTGGGTAAAAAGTTTCCGACAAACAGGTTCCTTCAATTCCGTGGTAAATCGACAGCACCTAGCTAGGTCAATAGAAGTCCGCCAAAACGCCAGAGAAGATTGAGATATTGAGATATTGAGCGCCTCGGTTTTCCAGTCGCATCAGCACGTCGCTCAATCTCAATGTTCTTTGGATTTCTGATGGACTTCTGTTGACCAGGGTACCTCCGATTAACCACGGAACCTGTTTGTCGCAAACTTAGAACCCACGATTACACTAAATTTATCGACTTTATTCACCACAAATTGACAGAGCTACTCTCTCAAAAACTTGTTAATAGTTCAACGGGAAGTTCGCTAAACAAATAAAACACAAACCATACACCAATACAGGGTGTTTCACAACTTATCCGACAAATTTTAACCACATATGCACTGTTACGAGAGAAGTTAATTTGCCAAAAAAAATGTAATAAAAGTCTTACAGAAATCGAGATAATAAAATAATAGTTCAACTTACTTATACAAGATGTTCAAAAATGTTCCCATTTACTGCAATGCAAACTTGGGTGCTTGTTTTTTTTTGTTTTAACCATTGTTTTGGTGCAACATTTGCTACAGTAAAGTATTAAGGCAAAATTATGAACCGCAAAATGCAGTATTTATTTTTCAATTTTTTATTGAAACTCGGGTTTATAATTTTATTTCTGTAGGACTTTTATTACATTTTTTTTGAGAAATCAACTTCTCTCTCTTTGAGAAATCTCAAAAAAATGTAATAAAGTCCTACATAAATAAAATCATAAACCCGAGTTTCAATAGAAAATTGAAAAATAAATATTGCATTTTGCGTTCATAATTTTGCCTTCTTAATACTTTACTGTAGCAAATGTTGCAGCAAAACAATGGTTAAAATAAAAAAAACAAGCACCCAAGCTTGCATTGCAGTAAATGGGAACAATTTTGAACATCTTGTATAAGTAATTGAACTGTTAAACTATTATTTAATTATCTCGATTTCTGTAAGACTTTTATTACATTTTTGTTTGGGAAATTAACTTCTCTCGTAACAGTGCATATGTGGTTAAAATTTGTCGTACAAGTTGTGAAACACCCTGTATAAATCCAAGTAAACAAACAACAATACCTACTTAATAAAATTTCACCCTCGTTACCTACATATCCGACTATTTCAATAAAAATGACAGTTACTAATTCCGCAATCAAATGTTCTGACAACTCACTTACACAAATGTCTCTTTTTTGTCGTGAAATTTTCGAAACATAATTAATTTCGGCCCCGTTTCTATTTTTTTTACAATTTATTATAATTTCCGATCGAAATGAATATCGCAAGGTGCTTCTTCTGCTTGCTGCTGATGGTCGTCGGTATACCGGTAGCGATGGTTTGCGGGCTGTTCTACTGGTTCTGCTTCTGCTGCACGGCGTGTTCCTCCTGCTGCGACGATTGGGCGTGCTGTTTCCTACAAGGGGCACAAATCCCAGGCAAAAGTTTTCAGTGTGTCATGTGCTGCGGAGAATCGCCTTATATGTGTTGTTAATGTCACCGAAATTGTAGTGAAAATAAATTTTCAAATATGTATGTCCGTTGTAATGAAATTTCTGTAAGATTATTAAAAAAATGTAATTCCAATTAATTGTTTTTAGTGTAGCTAAAGTACTTACTTTATTGGGTTGGAGACACGGGAAGTGTATAAGCACCTAGTACTCAAATGTCTGAGGTTAAACCAGAATGATAGAGTTTTGCCAGTTAAAGTAAGGATTATTATTATTATGGTATTGTGGTTAGTACCCTAGTACTCCTCTCTTTAACTGGATAAACCTAGGCTTAAAGTTCATTCTGACTAAATATTAATAAAATGTATCATACATAAATACTATACTCTCTGGTAAAGAACGACATTCGAATGAAAATAACAAGCTAATCGAATAAAATGAAATGAAGTGAAGTAAGTCTCATATTAAGAACAAGTTTGATCAATATTATCTCCAAAGTGGTCGGCGAATTTGACTAGATTCATAATATGGGCCCCAAAAAAGTAAGTTTTACGTTAACCTGCTTATCAGTTGTTCAAAAATCTAACAACAATTCCATAAACTTGTACTTAACTATAATAACTTATTGACCCACTATACAAATTGAAAGAAATCCTGTAAATCATGTAATAGACCTTACAAAGCAATTTTTCATGAATCATGAATTTAACTAATTGGATATTTGCCGATACATCCCATTTAAATTTTATTAACTTTTTGCTTTAATAAGTTAATACCAACTTGACTAAAATGTTTCAAACTATTCCCTAAATGTCAGCCCAAAATGTGGCACGTTTGGAGAATTGTCAGTTGACGTGCAGGAGTTTTTGTTTGCGAATTTGAAGATAAATTTAGGAGTTCTTCTCCGAAACTCAGGATCATGGACGACGCAGACGATGGGGCTCCGTCATTGAGCGGTACGTGAAAGTAAAAATAATTCTTTAATTATATATACCTGATATACCGGATGTTGCAAAAAGGTTGTGCCAAACTTAAGGAGGTTATAGGGGACATTGTGGTGAACAACTTTTGCAGAGATATCCCTAGTGAAAAATGAGCCGTTTTGGCTCCAAAGTCATTTTTGTTTAAAAAGTTGTTCTTAACTTATTGAATGTAAAAAACGGTAGAATTTGGTTCCAACTTGACGGTGCACCGGCACATTTTGCTCGCATTGTTTAGGATTACCTAAACCAACAATTTCCTATACGATGAATTGGAAGAGGAGGACCTATTCAGTGGCCACCGCGAAGTCCCGATTTAACCCCATTGGATTTTTTCCTCTGGGATTACATGAAGTCGTTGGTGTGCGATACTCCTGTAGATACCCAAGAAGAAATATTAGAAAAAGTGATGGCTGCCTCTTTTTTCATATAGCAAGTTCCGCAAATCTTCCAACGGGTGCGAGATTCAATGAATTAAAGGATCAATTAATGTAATGAAATAGAGGGTCCCCATTTTGAATCCTTGTTGTGATTCATTCTACGTATTTGTAATTAAAAATAATAAAATATTGACGTTTTTTACATTCAAGAAGTTAAGAATACCTTTTGAAACAAAAATTACTCTGGAGCCAAAACGGCTCATTTTTGACTAGGAGTATCTATGTAAAAATTGTTCACCACAATGTCCCCTATAACCTAATTAAGTTTGGCACAATCTTTTTGGAACACCCTGTATGTTTATGTTGCGGATAAAGTTAGATAAACGACTAAACTTAGGTTTACCTGGGTAAAGTTCGAAGGGCGGGTAAGGTAGGAGAGGGTAGGTTTTTCGTGCCATAACGGGAACCTAAGAAACCCAAAAACCTACCCTACCCTACCTTACCCTACCCTTGCTTTTTGGATATTTCGCACTTTACCAGGGTAAACCTAGGTTTAGTCGTTTATATAGCTTTATCGGTACCCATTTTAAGTAACCCACTTTAAGACAAATTCATACAAATTCATTAATTAAATCATTTTTAGTGTCATATTTTTAAGTCATATTTAGGTATGTTTTCTAGCTTCAGCAAAAAAATCCAAGTCGGTCAAAAGCGTAGTGAATTTCGATTTGGATGATAAACGTGAGTATTTATAAATGCGATTTGGTAATATTATGAATAAAAGTTTATATTAAAATAACTACTGTTGTTTGTATCACTATAGCAAAGAAATCTAAAAGTTCCATTGGGCGGCTTGACAAGAGGAGAAGCGGCATGCAATCCACACTCGAAATAAAAACTACATGTAAAGTGTGCTAATTGCAAGTATTACCAGATTTTAACAAGTAATTTTCAGCTAGCAGACACTTGAAAGGAAAAAAGAAGGCTCAAGAAGTGAATGTAATTGAAGAACTGGTACGTCTACGCATTGAACTGGCTAAGAAACTAACTATACAAGGTGTTCGAAAATGTCATGCTAATATTTAAGGAGGTGATTCCTGGACTTATTTTGAGGAAAAAACTTCATATGAACCTATGTCCTAAACGTCTTAACTTTTGATATACAGTGTGTGTCACGACAAGGGCCCATTAGAAGTATCTGAAAAAGTAGTGGTAATTAAAATTTGAAAATATGTGTACAAGTATTAGTCGATGCGCTCTATTCAACGAAAATATTTTCAACTTTTCTTTACTTCCGGTTATACCGGAAATGGACAGCAACTTTGTTCTTTTAAATGGGACACCCCATATATTAATATATTTTCGAAATGTACGCAAATTTTTGGAGTACTTTATTTACAAAAATTTACAAAAATTTAAATTATTTTCGGAATCCTTATTCAATTTAGAACAAATTAGTTTTCTTGACTTTTTTCCGTACGACTCATCGTTTCGCATTAAAAAAAATAAATGCATTTATTAGGACGTTGCCGCTACATTAGTCGCTGTACTAAAATTAAAAAATAATAAATTTTAGGTTTAGGACATATGTTCATATAATGTTTTTTTTCCTAAAATGGGTCCAAGAATCCCCTTAAATATTATCATGTCATTATGGAACACCGTGTATATGTAGGTTCGAAATAGGGTATACATTGTGTATAGTGTATATGGACAAAATGCTCCTCATAATGAATATTCCATGGTAACAAAATACGTAATTGTGCAATTAAATATCCATTCGTGTATAGATTCAAGAGGATCCTTCAGCGACTGAAATAGAGGAAAGCTCGTCGGAGGAATCATCTTCTGAGGAAGAGAAAGAAAAAGTACATAAAAAGAAAAGCAAAAAGAGTAAAGGAGCCGTTTCGGAAGATGCTTTGGTAAATTACCTTCGGGTTTTGTCAATTTACATTGCTCTTCGATTAAATTACCTAAAACAACGTAAAATAACATGGTAAACTTTCAAGATCAGAAAATCGAAAAAAGACGCGAAAGTCGTGAAACTGAAAGTAGAAAAAGAAGAAGGTCCCACTTCAGAGGAAGATCTCCTGGCGGAATTTGCGAAAACCAGTAAAGCGGCCAGACCGTTACCACCCATACCAGATTGTAAGTAAATGTGAATTTAAATTTTTCATCAATTTATCTCCACAAAACTAAAAATATCATGGTAGGTATAAGTAAAGGAAAAGGGGTAAGTGTAGTACGTAGAATCACAAAAAAACAATTTTTTTCACTACTGTTTAGTGAGTTTTTCATTATGTGGAAGTTGAGATTTTTGAACAAACTGATCTACAATATTTATTAAATGTATTTTTACTAATAGAAACTTAGACAATTTTCAGACACTTTCAAATACCCCCCCAATTTTTCAATGTAACGGCTGCTAATATTATTTTTGTCCAGTTAACACTCTACTGGAAGAAGTCATGATCAAGGTTATTATAAACTTATAGAAATTTAATTCTCTGATTTCTTCTTAATTCTTCATCATCTTCTTCATAATCATCGGCTTCTTCTTCTTCATTCATCTTCTTCTTAATCGTCATCATCGATCTTCTTCGTCTTTTTTACTACATATTCTCCAGCATGTTCTCTTTCATTATCTACCTTTTATCTTCTTCTTTTAATTACTATAGTAGATACCCAGTTATACAGGATGTTCAAAAAGTATGGAAACGATCGATTTCCTGGCAAATTAAGGATCGAATGAAAAATTGATTGATACCATTGATCGGCGGTATAAACGGTTTAAACGGTATAATATGGTATAAACAAATCAAGATTGAAGAGTAAAAAACAATTATGTTTAATAATTTTTTAAAAGCAATTTATCGACGCTATTAACGACCCTCTACATCATCCCTTGAGGTTGGTCAATGAGTAGCTTCAAAAAATTGAATTTTGAGAAAATTAAATTTTCAAATTTTTAACACTTTTTTGATAATTTCAATAAATGTTTCAAACAAAACTTGCTTATTTTGATGCCAGGAAATTTAAATTTTTAAAATTACCCCCGTTCCCCCCTTAAGGGGTGTAATTGGATTAAAAGTTATTGGATACGTATTGTTTCAATTATTCATTCAGACTATAATTTATCAGAAAATCGACCGTTGTCATACTTGTTAGACACCCTGTATACCTTTTTATGCTTATTAAATACGAAGATATCTCAAAGAGCTTCATTCTTGTCGGAGCAATTTTCTAATCGATTTAAGCTTCAATTCTGGGGTTTACAGGAATCCATGAAACCGGGAGTAAAGAAGGACACGTTGGAAAAACTGAGAGCGCAACACGAAATCGAAATCCGGCATAAAATCGACGCCGAAATACAAAGGAGAGCCGACGAATTAGAGAGGAAAACGGAAAGAGAACGCAGAGAACAGATCGACGCCAATCTTAGGGACGATCAACTATTGAAATCCAATTTGTTTATTCAAGAGGTGTACGATTTTTTCCAAGAAAGTTTCACTCAGGAGAAAGCACTGAATGAGGTGAGGTTTATTCTCTCGTTCTATTTTGCTGTGGTACCAATTCCTCTGTGGAGGAATTGTTTTACACTAAGACTGGATCTAACAACAATGTAATTTGATGAATTTCAGTGGCTGGCATTTCTGAATTGCCGCAAGTTACCGAATCCAGCGTTTTGCAGAGACATGACGACCTATCTGCGCATGTGGGAAGAAAGCCTGAAGGCGATTACAATTCCCGAAGCAGTGGTAAAAACTCAAGAAGTTATCGAGGTACCTAATAATGTTGAACAATTACAAAAAAAAGTCGTTTTTATTTAACGATTTTATTGAGATTGTTTTTAGCTCATTGGCGAATTGGAAGATGTGATTGATCTGTCTGTAGAAGAAGAAAAAATACATATGCCCAATTGGGTTTGGGTAAGTAATTTAGCCGGTGTAAAAACATGGTATCAATTGGTAGAAATAAATTAACCACAAGTCGAATCTAAATTACCCGCCCCTACTTAGATTTCACTCAATTATGCTATCTGTCCATTTGAGAGTTTTCCTGAGAGCAACTCTCGAGAGTTACTCTTAAGTCTTTGTCCATTTGAGAGCAAAATCGCGAATTTTTTCTCTCCGAGTGTGTCCAAAATGCTAGTTGCGAGTTTTATAAAATTAGATCTATCAGCAGAACCGTGTTCACTAGGTTTGTGCTGAGAGTTTTGTGAACTGCAGTTTGGAACATTTTTAAGCACCTTTTTAACAGATTAGATACTTTTATCAAAAATCTATTTACTAATCATAATGAAGGCCATATTTAACAGTTTCTATAAATTACCGAAATATATTTTTTTACTTTAACATTTTCTACCAGTAGGTATATTGACTAATAAAGATATTTTTGTTGAAATAACTGCATCTGAAAAAGGTGCTATGAAATTAATTTTATTATTAATAACGCTAAAAATGTTCCAAACTTTGGTGAAAATTGTATAAATGCCAAAAGTTGAGATTTGTTTCCAAAAATGCTGGTTTTATAGAAAATTACAAAGAGTCCAAGATTATGAAAAATAAGCCGATAAATCTAGTTTCGATTTAAAAATTAGATAAATACAGTGATGTTAAAATTACTTTATAATATGTAATTAATTACAATTACAATTACTTTTGGCAAATTGTAATTAATTGCAATAAATTACTGTTTGTCCGAACATTTAGTTGTTAGGGCTCGTAAACGAAACCCTATTTTTTATTTTTAAAAACAAAACCTTGTAATTTTTAACAAATATGCATATTTGAATATCCTGCAAGAGTAGTAAACCTAGCATTAGATAGGCGTTAACTTTGGACTAACTTTATACAGGGTGGCATATTGATATGGAAAACGTCAAAAGTATTTATAATTTTTTTCCTCCACAGTCTAACGCCCGATTTCACCAACATGTTGTTAGGTATTTCCTAACTAGGTTATTCCTAAGGTAGGAATTACTTAAATCGAATACTTACCTAAATCGAATTTCACCAACATTAGAAATCCCTTACTAAGAAATACCTTAAGTAAAAATTTTATTTCGACAATTTTTTGAATTTTATTGGTAGCATTGGCTAATTTTGACGTGTAAACCGAATAAGCGGTGATTGAAATTGAATATGTTGAGAGAAAAGAAGAGATGTTGACGATCCGGGCCATCTTTAAATTATCTTAGTTATTTTTAAATCTGCTGAAGATGTAGTCTGTACATTATTAGAAAAATAACCTTTCCGATTTGTAAAATATTTCTACATCTTCTTCTCCAGGACTATGGATCTTTACATGCATGTGTACGGTCAATAGTTCCAAAAACTTCCTGTGTGTCAAATTAAAAATCATCTTTAAATATTTGTAATATCTGTAATGCCGTAATTTTATATATCGAAAAAGGCGAAAAAAAATCAGTTTCGTCCAGTTTCTCCTCCCATTTTAAATTTTCATCTAAAGAGTCTAAAGACAGTCAAATCTAAAGTCACATGAAATCACATAAAAAGTATGGTTAAGTATTTCCTAAATGTTTTAGGCAAGCCCAGTGAGCTGTCCTAACTTTAGGCATTTCCTATTACCCTTAGGTATTACTTAATGCATGGTGAAACGCAAATTGTACTTAGGAATTCCTAAATCCGGTTTAGGTATTACCTAACTTTAGGAACTGGTTGGTGAAATCGGGCAATAGACTTTTTAAGTTTTTCCATACTAATGTGTGCCACCCTGTAGATACGCCAATTGTTCAGAGACCAGCAGAAGCTCAGCTTAGACGTCGCGACGTACACGCTGATGAAGAACGTCGACGTCAACATGACCAGAATCAACATGTCGACGGCCACATACGATTACATCGAAGACAACATATCGATATGTGTGTGGTTGCTCACCCAGAACCCCATTCCGCTGACGAATCCCAGAAGACCACCGAGGTATACAGGGTGGCACTTAGTATGGAAAAGCTCAATATATCTGTTATTATTGAAGATATCAAAAAAACTTCATTACAAAAGTTGTAGATCTTTTTAAGCTGCATGTTTTAAAATTAGTTACATTTATACAGAGTGTCCCGTTTTTCCGTAGTAGATCAAACTTATACTTTTTTAAATGGAACACCCTGTTTTTTATTTAAAAATTATATTTAGCTCGTTTTCAGCTTTCCAAAAATATAATGTTATATAATGTTATACTGAGTGGTTTAAAAGTTATGACCACTTTTCCACGAAAATCGTACTAAGTTTACCACTCTGTAGAAACTATATGGATTGAATTGAAAATAAATTTCAGGTTTCACAACATTGCAAATATCCTGAAATTGTACAAAATGAATATTTTTTGTCAATTTTAATCATACTGCTTACAGGGTGGATCCAAACGCAAAAGTAACATTTTCTCTGTTAATTTAAATGGATCACCCTATATTTTATATCGTTAACAGGAAGTATTTTTGAAGTACTTTCATTGTTAATAACCATTCCCTATACCTAAAGTTAATACTTTTCGGGATATTCCAATTAAAAAAAACTAGAAAGGAATACTGAAGAAAAAAAATTAAGGTTTCTTTTTGATCGAAGTACACGTTACAGAAAGAAGTAAGAAACGTCAATTAAGTACTATCTGGTATTATTTGTCGGTATTGCCACCACAATTTGTAAAAATTAGAATACAAAATGAGTTTTTCTATTGAACAATTATTGATGGTTATGATTTGGGCATTCGGAGAAAATTTAGAGAATTTGTTGGCTTGCCAAAAGGATTTGTCATGAGAGATATCCTGGAGGAATACAACCTAACAAAAAATCCTTTGAAAAATGTCGAGATTGTGTCAATCGTACGGCTTCCGCGGAATACAAAAAACCAGAATGTGAAAAAACTATTCTAAACGAACAAAATGGACCAAATTATTAATAATTGGTATTAGCAATTGTTATAAGTCGCAATAGACACAATAATGTTATTAGTACCTACACGATTAGCGATTAGTATCTGGTGATAGGTGAGTCCAATTAAAGAATATTGAAATATCTCGAAAAATATCAAATTTAGGTACAGAGAAGGTTTATTAGGTATAGACAATTTTTACCAGAACTTCGGTTAATATAAAAAAGAAAGCTTAATTTTTTTTCTTTAATTTTAAGTTCTATTTATTTTTAATTGAATTATATCGAAAAGTATTAACTTTAGGTATAGGGAATGGTTATTAAGAATGAGAGTACTTCAAAAATACTTCCTATTAACGATATAAAATATAGGGTGATCCATTTAAATTAACAGAGAAAATGTTACTTTTGCGTTTGGATCCACCCTGTAAGCAGTATGATTAAAATTGACTAAAGATATTCATTTTGTACATTTTCAGGATATTTGCAATGGTGTGAAACCTGAAATTTATTTTCAATTCAATCCATTTAGTTTCTACAGAGTGGTAAACTTAGTACGATTTTCGTGGAAAAGTGGTCATAACTTTTAAACCACTCAGTATAACGTTATATAAAATTATATTTTTGGAAAGCTGAAAACGAGCTAAATTCAATTTTTAAATAAAAAACAGGGTATTCCATTTAAAAAAGTATAAGTTTGATCTACTACGGAAAAACGGGACACTCTGTATAAATGTAACTAATTTTAAAAAATGCAGCTTAAAAAGATCTACAACTTTTGTAAGGAAGTTTTTTTTGATATCTTCTACAATAACAGATATATTGAGCTTTTCCATACTAATGTGCCACCCTGTATAAAGCTCGCATCGTCGTTTGCGACTGATTCTCGTTAACAACGAAATATATTATTCCAAGGCCGCGGATAATCATCAACTTTGAGAAATTGGACGACTTCAAGGTGACGTTGCCATACGTTTTGGACTGCCACCACAAGGCGGTTCGAGTCATGTACCTGAAATACGATCATCTGAGCGACACGTGCCAAACCAGCAAGCTGCCTCCGATGCCGCCTTCGCAGAAATGCGGTAAGATTGACAGTAAAACGAAATTCGAATCGAATACAAATCATATCTGCCTGCTTCGTTAGATTTGCTGACCACCTTCAGGAAAGAGTGGAGGATGAAGTTGATGTACAAGTACGAGCATCGCGATAGGAAACCACCGCCAGACCCCGACGATCCCGAATTCGCCAATTATGCACCTGAACCCGAAGAGTTTGGTTCCGATGATGAAATTCCCTTCGTACCGTACAAAGCTTTGGTGCCCACGCCCACCGAATACGTTTCAATCATCGAAGGTTGGTTGGAATCCTTCGTTTTGTTTTAACATTGAGGTTTTGAACTATAGGTTGCATGTTTTAAGTCGTAATTCGTTGGAGACATCATTTGGGTTTTCAGGCCATAAGCACGCCAAAGAAAGGAAAGCTCTGTTGGCCGAAATAATCACCGATTCGAATTTTTTAAATTTGCGCAAATTTAGAATTTTGGGTGGAGTTTTTACAGTGCACTATTTGCACCAACCACCACAGCCTACCACCTACGCCACTATGACATCCATATTTACCACCAGGTGTAAGTCATACTTCACATTTGTACCACGCAAATTTTCTACATCTCTATGATTACATTTTTACCTTATAGTATTCATTCCGCAAGAATTAGAATACGTAGACTTTTTCGCCCCATACCAATCACCCGATTTTTACATATCGATCGATTTAAACGCTTTCAAAGCTCCCGATCCGGAAGTTTTAGAGGAGTACTATAGACAACAAGATGCTCTAGATAAGTTGATTTTCATTAGTCTATTGTAAGTAGTTTTCATGAAAATCTTCCTCTTACGTGTAGAGCCATTGTCAAAATTATCGAGCACTCTTATAATATGATTTACTATTTAAATTCACTTCGGCAGAATCTTCGTTTAATACTGATTGTTGGATTTATTTCACTTTTAACAGTAATTTAAGAATAAGTAACATATTTCTAGGGTGCTCAATACTAATTAGCCAGGACATTTTGTGTCGGTACTTCTCTTCTACTTTCCCAAAGTCTAACACAAAACTGTTGGTACTTGAAGGATACCCCAGCACGTTATATTTCTGGAAATACCGAAGGTTTATGTATGGATGGAAGAGGAACACCATTGGAGCAACAAGTACATTCATTATACCAGTTACGACGCTGAAGAGAAGACCATATCGTTTAGATCGCAAATATTTGGTACCTTCGGTTTGGCGATATCGCGTTACAACAATTTACCGTATACCTGGTGGAACATCCAACCTTATCCAGAGTAAGACCGATTAAAATTCGATTAAAGGCTTCTTAAAGGCTGGGATGATATGTAAATTAGCGTACACCAAAGAGGTTAAATTTTACCATCATCTCAATCTCCTATGTTCTCTCGCCTATAAATTCAAATTTAATTAAAGTGGGGAATTTTCAGTACTTCAATAGAAATCAAACTAGCTGCTCAAGTGTTGTACTTGGAGTTCATAATAAAGGACGGTTTGATATGCATGTCACTGTTAGAGAAGAGCCCGAATGTCTATGCGTTGCAGAATTTCGTGGGAGAATTTATGAAATTCCACACGTTAAAAAAGGTTTGCTTCAAATCCGACTTCTTTTATCTTGAATTTTTTAACTCGGATTATTGATTTAATCCTTCGGGCTTTTTCAGATTTTGAAAGAAGGTGGAATAGACATATTTCCAGATTTTGATTCATACTTTTACCACGAAGGTTCGTAACATATAACAATAATATAGGGAGAAAAGGTAGCAAAACGAATTAGTAACCGAAAAATAATGCTTCAAGAACCAACTTCAAATTTGAATCTTAGGGATTCATATCTTCAAAGGCTACTCAAAGATACTCTTTTAACGAGAAGGAAACTACTGTTTTAGCTTCTTGTGAAAAGCATTGGCCGACAGAAGAACACCTGTACAACAACATGGCAGCCATTGGGGGATATTTCAATTTCACATGGTCCAAGTGGAACATGACAACAACGCCCAGAGAAATAGTCTTTCAAATGAGAGAATTTATTCCGACGAAAAAGAAACACGTAAATAATATGTCAAGTACTTTATTTAGATATTTGACATCCTTGTTAAACATTAAGATAAGAGTATTTTATTGGTTGAGGTTTTCAAAATACTCCAAAGAATTAATCAAAAGGAAAAAGGTCGTTCAGGTTTTATTAATTATTATCAACGGCTGTTTGGAAATTTTCCTCTGTTTCTACTACAAGATATTCTGATGATGATAAAAAAAGTTGGATAAGAAAAAGGATAAAGTAAAAGATATCATTGAAAGATTGACATTGAAAGATTTCTTTTGCCTGATTTAACAGGAGCAATGCATATACAATCAATTCTTTCATATTTACGTGTAATAATAATTATTTTAGCCGAATCTTTGCTTAGCTCATGTATCACCGGAAAAATCTACTTACCTAAAATGTACCGAAGAAGATGAAGAATTTAGCTCTGAACCAATGGAGGGTATCAAGGTGAATGCTATATGGAACCAGAACGTTCTATTAATTCTAATAATATTGATGGTGCACGTTTCAGTTCAGCGCTGATTTAATAAATTTGATGAAAAACACCGTCTCCATGTTCATCAAGTCCCAAATCGAGGCCTATCCGAAACTGAACGTGCACGTTTTGTCGCAGTTTTTGTTGTCAACGAGATTGTTAAGTTTTTCTTAGCTTTTGGAAAAAAAATCTTGCAAAAATTTGGTGTAATCCTAAATTTTTTAACTCTAAAATAACCGACTAATAAAGGCAATATAAATATCCCAACTTCCACCATTATTGAATTAATTCTTAGGTACCGAACTTCCTGGATTAATATCCACTAATTTTCATCTCTAATACTTCATTTTCTTATGCTCATATATATTATTGTAGTCTTCTGACTTTTACTTTTTAATATTCAATCTTTTTACTTTTTGATATCATCTTAGATACAATACCAACAAGATAATGCTATAATTTCAGAAGAATCAATCAAAGAAGCGAAAAAGACATACCTATCGAAAATACCAAAGGATCCTCACATAATGAACCTGAGAAAATACACCATTTTAGGAGGCGTTTTCCACGTTAACTATTTACACCAACCGTCCCAGCCTCAAGAGCTCGCTTCCGTACCAAACCTGAGGATAACCAGAAGTAACTGGTGTTCAAATTGTCTGATACCGTTCAGTTTAATTAAATTTGCATTGTAGGTTTTCTTCCTAACGAGCTGCAACACGTTGATTTCTTCGAAAGCTACGACCCACCGGCGCCCACTGATCCCAACGTTCGCAAACAGCCGGAGCAAATAGAAGAGGAAATGCGCAAGCAAGAGGAAGCCTTGGATAGGCTAATAGCTATTGACCTGACGTAAAGTTAACCTTAGGTTGTAGTAACGCCTGGAGATGGTATATGATGATCTTGTAGGTGGCCTCAACACGTGATATTCTTGGAGTTGCCGATCGTGTGCGTTTGGATGGAGAAGGAGAAGCATTGGACCAAAAGATACGTGCATGATTTGAAGCATAACGAAGACAAAGGTACAATGTCGTTGAAGACGCAAGTTTTTGGTATTTTCGGTTTGGCTACGCTGAGATACGCCAATTTGCCGTTTCAGGCGTGGGACGTCAAGCCTGAATCTAAGTGAGTATCAATCTGTATAAAAAGTGGTTGTAATTATAAAGGGTGTTTCAATAAGACCGCAAGATTTGACCGCAACACGTGACTATAACATGACAGATCGAAAGTTGACAGTTGGGAGTTAGTAAATATGGAGTATTGAATCTGGATATGGATCTGGATATGGAACATAATCGCGTCTTAATTGTTAAATATTACTCCCGGTCGGGTCATTTCCCGGTTTGGTGACCAAAACTGGCCGCCACGTTTTTGTGATTTAAGACCTTTGGACTTCTGGCTGTGGGGTTACTTGTAGTCACAGGTTTATGCCAACATGCCCGCGGCCACCGAAGTGTTTAAAGCTGAAATTAGACGCTTTATCAATAAAATACCGCCACATATTTACAATAATGCTATCGAAAATTTTATCTAAAGAGTACACTTGTGCCAGCAAAGCCGTGGCGACCATTTACAAGATATTTTGTTTCATATAAAATTTCTAAATGTACACATGATAAATTAATAAATATTTCCATATTTTGCTACAGATAACATTGTTTTATTGAAATCTTGCGCTCTTATAGAAACACCCTTTATTTGTATGGGGTATTTAATTTTTTTAGTGGGTCGGTAACGATAAATATCACCACTGCAATTATAATCCTAGAGTTCAATGTAAAAGATGGATTAGTGTGTATTTCGCAGCTTCAAAATAGTCCAAATAGAGCACTGTTGGATCAAATTGGAAAATATGTTAAATTGCACCGAGTAAAGAAGGTGAGATTACGACATTACGAGTAGTACCTCAAGAGTATTTTTCCTTGAATAAATTATATTTTCTAATTTTCAGATGTTAAAAAACGCCGGTATAGATATATTTCCAGAGCATGACGGCTATTGTTACGTTGATGGTAAGTTACCAATGCAGTTTTTCTCATTGGATCTAATTTTGATCGTTTGTACAGGAAGTTGCGAAAAACATTGGCCTACAGAAAAGCATTTGTACTCAAACATGGCCATTTTGAGTGGAGTGTTTAATTTCTCTTGGTCCAGATGGAACGCGTCCCAAGGAAGAAGGAACATTGTGGTGCAGATGAGAGAATACGCCCCAGACAGGTCTAAACAAGTATGTAACTCTTATCGAATTTGATGAATCGTTTAGGTAATTTTTTTGTTTCTTTTTTTTTTGTAGAAAACACATTTGCTCGTTCTTGTAAATCCAATGAAGGCTTATTATATCGACTGCACAGAAGTTAGTCAGGCATTTGTTGATAAACCTGTCGAAGGTTCAAAAGTACGTAATAATAATAATCTGCATTAAAATACAGTTGATTTTATATTATTAATAACTTTCGTTTTTGTAGTTTTGTGCTGATTTATTGAACTTGGTAAGAAGTACCACTGGAATATTTATAAGAAAAAAAGTGGAATCATATTCGAAGATAAACGTTTACGCGGTTTATGAATTTTTAGTAGCTACGAGGGTTGTTAGTTTTTCTTAAACGATTTGTATTTCCCTAATAGTAAGTAATAAAAATATTAATGGCAAATATACAGGTCCTTGATGCATTTTTTCCGATATACTTTATTTCAAAAGCTGGTAGTCCCAATAGTTCAAAAAGACTGGCAAAGATGTTGAAAAAAAAAACCGTTTTCAGTTTTTTTAACTATTTTTTGCATTTTGCATTTTCAAACTTTGTTATCAAAGTACTTGGTCAAAGTTTATAATTGGCTAATAATCATGATTTTTTTTAAATAACGGGTTTCGCCGTAAAAGTTTTTTTGTTTCCCCAAAAGTAAGGTTCACTGTAAAAAGTCGAATTTTAAATTTTAATCAGCATTATTTATATTTTACAATTCCGAACCACAAATGTATGTGAATTCCATGCGACAAGTAATCAATCGTTTTATACGCCTCACCCTAATGTACATAAATTTTTAAATGTTCTTTTAGATTTTCAAATTTGTGTTTGCGTTTGCGTTTGCGTTTGTTCATTAAATAAATTCTACATACATGTAAGTAAAAGGAAATTTGAGTTTATTTAAATTTTAATATTTTCAGAATCATATTGATCTTATAAAATATTTATGTAAAGTTCAAAAAATATTTAATGTATCTACCTAAATAATAAAAAAAACAAAAGTTGGTTACGTTCAAAAAATATTTAGGATTTTTGAACGAAGTAGGATTAATCGAAAACCTAATTGCACCCTGCCGTACCTACCCCAGGTAACGGGTGACAACTCGACCCATAAGAACTGACCGGTTAGAATTCGGGTGACAACTCGACCTCTCCGGAAATTATCCATTTCAATCCATCTCGCATATCGATCAACAATCGAAGGGAACCAATAAAAACAACGTTTTTCTTTTTACCTCTACCGTTTTGATCGATATAGATTCACTCAGTTCCGAATTTTGACCATTGATAAATTGTGACTTCATTGTCTTCGTGTTGTCTATATCCGAATATTCAATTTGTGTGTTATTTTTTAGTTTCCACGTGTGTTCTTTCTGTCCAAATGGTGATATTGTATTGGTAACTTGGTTAAAAATGGTTTATTTAGTTGCGATGTATCTAATGTCGACATATTCAATGAAAAGCGCTTTGGAGTAAAGAGTACAATTACTTGTTAATATAACATATGTGATGTTACAAAATCATTTAATAGTACCAACAGTGAAAAAGAGCTTGACATAAATAAATTTTTGAAAATAACTAAGTACTTCCTGTACTTAGTCAAATTTAGTCAAATCAAATTTAGTAACCGGACAATATTTTAAAAAATTCTTGAGGTAGAATAAAAGTAGAATAAAAAATCAAGTATGTAGCAACATTAAATTAAATATTTGCAATTTTAAAATTTAACATCTTAACTGTAGGTAATCGGATTATCGGATTTGGGTCGTAAAATTGAAGACGAAACCAACCCCTCATAAATCATTCTCGGACTGTATAACAAGTTGCCTAAAACTGATAATTTAGTGTTCTGAAACGTTGAATTTTTAAACACATTCAACCTAATTATTTATTAACAAATGACAAGGAAAATCAAAAAAAGGGCTTCGTAGCGCATTCGAAAAGAGTCAGCTCTTTCCATTGCATACAAAAAAAAATTGCAAAAATTGACATACAAAAAGTTAAAAATGTAGCCTGAATATGGATTATAGGATTTCAACATTTTCATTAATTAAGCAAAAATAAAAGCATTTTTCAAACAAAGGGCTTCGTAGCGCATTACAACTAAATGGGTAGATCATATGTAGAGTGCGACCCCCCTTTCAAATTTCAAAATACGCCCTGAAAACGTCGCGGCGAATCGGGCATTTTACGCCTATTTTCAGAGTACTGAACTCTAGCCTTAACCACTTATTAGTTAAGAAAGACTCATAATAAAACTCCCCAATTATAAAACAAAATCCTTGAAATAAACAACATTTTCTAAAGTATATAATTTTTATTAACCTTTAGAAAGTAAATATAATATGGACCACATCCAGATATAAAGAACTTCTTTTTTAAATGGTGGATTATATGACCGGTCCACATTTGGCGCACTTACTCAAATAATTTTCAACTACATCAGCAACATCTACTTCATTAACTATTTCATCTACGTTATGATTTATGATCCATATTTAAATTTTTGAAAAAAGCTGCACAAAAGAAACAAAGCTCGATTATAAAGCAAAAGCTGATCACAAGTCATCAAAATTGGGCACCTTATCCTAGCCTTATAGAAAAGACTTGTGATATATTGTCATCATGTGAGTAGTTTTAATCATGTTATGCTCTGGAGAAAATGAGCATTAAAGTTTTGTTAGTATCACATGTCGTCGTTATTAGGCTTATTTGAGAGGTTTTTAATGCCCCCCGAACATGCTTCAAAATGCTAACCATCGTGCTCTACGCATTGCTAAAGCCTCTCGTAAGTAGAGAAAATTGCAGCTTCAATTTCAGCTCTTTGCATGTTACGAAATGCATTATGAATACGGTTTTTCATATCGTCTCTGGTCGTAGGTTGAGTGTGAAACACGATGTTCTTTAACCGCCCTCATAGATAAAAATCAAGACAAGTTAAGTCTGGTGATGGCGGAGGCCATGAAAACAGACTTCCTTTTCCAATCCACGGCTGTTGAAATACTGCATTAATATGCTCTCACACAATAACAGCAAAATGTGCTGGGCAACCATTCAACCGCAAAAACAAGTTTTGCTGTGTTTCCAATGGCACATCTTCCAACAACAACCGTAATTGATTGACCAAAAAGTCAAGAAAGAAATTGCCATTTAGGGATTGCTCGAAAAAATATGGCCCAATAATTCTGTCTCACAGTATTCCACAGCACATTCTGCACATTTTCTGCACATTTTCTGCAACTCTCCCGTCACTGTTAAAGGTGGCTTCATCGGTCCAAAGAATTTAAGATAAAAATTCTCTATTTTCTCGTAGCATACCATATCATCCAAAGACAATAGTCCAACCACCGATCAAAGTATTCCTTTTTCAATAAGGCCGGATGCAAAACGATATGATATGGGTACATTCTAAAAGTAATTAAAAAAATGTTAAATTTGAATAAATTAATCGTGTAGGTACTAATAACTAATTGTCTATTGCGATTAATAACAATTACCTACTAATATACCAATTATTAATAACAATTCATTTTTTTTCTTCAATTTTAAGTTCAATTTTTTTAATTGAAATATCTCGAAAAGTATTAACTTTTAAACAGTATCAACATTTTAGTTATTACTAAGAAAACGTTATTTTTGCCTCTGGATCCACCATGTATGCAGTTTGATTAAAATTGAAGAAAAATATTAATTTTGTACATTTTTAGGATAATTGCAATGGTGTGAAACCCCAATTTTGTTTTCAATTGAATCCATTTAGTTTCTACAGAATGTCCCGACATTAATCCCATTGAGCATTTGGGGGACGAGCTCAAAAAGAGAGTACGAGCCAGAAATCCGACACCTGCGAAGATCAACCAGCTCAGAATTGCGCTGGAGTAGTAGTGGAACGGGATATGTCATTGTAAGAGCCACCTAGATTTTGAATTATTTCATTTATTTTTATGTATTACCGTAGAAAATTCATTATTCTGTTAGGTATTACTTATTTATTACTGATTTAAGTTCATTGCTAAAATATTCCAAAACAACAAATAAACCTTTGAGGTGTATTGAGTTGTTAAATAAGATATAAGTTGACATGTTTGGCATGTTTTTGTTGATAACAAAAATTTGAAAAATTTAAGTTGAAATTGGTGGTCAAAATTGAAAGTGGTCAAAATATTCCTATTAATCTTTTGCAATTTGTGGTCACCCTGTACATCTAATGTTAAATGTACTTAAATATATATTAATATTTTTGAATGCAGAGATTTTCACAAAGAATAACTTTTTTTCGTAAAACTTACAATAAAAAAGTTTCCCATATGTTGCCAACATTTTCCGACATATCTGTATACTGAGCTTTTCCATACTAATGTGCCACCCTGTACTAATCTAATATTTAATTTTGATATAATTCCACTATTACTTTACACTATACAAGTAAGTGCAAAATTGGTTGCAATATGGTATATGGATGCAACAAATAAGACAATTTCCATTAATCTCATATAAAGGAAAAAGAAAGAGTGATATTGTCGGATAGCAACTTTCTCACTCTAACCACTGTTATTTTAATAATCTTTCTTTATTCGACTCGCCATATTTTCAAAAACTGTTAACAGTGCATCTAATTCCGTATGTAACAGTATAGGGAGTAAACAAGGATCTTGGCAACTTAAAAATAACCAGATTCATAAAAACGAGCGAATAATCGACAACGCAGTCGAACGATTCGTTTCACAAACACGTTGGTGCCTGCCCGTCCGTCGTTCGTTGATACTTTCAGGTCTCGCTCGATGATGCACGAATTCCGAGCATTGGAGAACCACCAGAAATCATTACCGGCCGTTTCGCAGGTGGTTACGGCGAGAAAGTATCCAGTTTCTTTGACAAATCGACGGTAGCGGCAACGCCGCAACGATGATACCGTGCGTTTTCGACGGGCGCACGTCTACCGCGCACCACACACCACGTTGGGGCACGCGGTCGCCTATCGGCCCCCCTCCATTCGCTCTCGCACATTTACTATACGATACGATTATATCGAATCGTCAAATAATGGGAATCGAATGTTGGGAATCGATTGGGGCGGTTTGAAAGTCGAACATCGACCATAGGCGCGCGGATGATATACATTTTTGGGATTTACTTTAGTTTTTTTTATTGCTTGTAATTCATTTCTTTTCACTTTTACTAATGAAATTATTTTTAATCCCCTTATTTATGTGTGTTATTTAACTACATACTATGACTTGAATAAAGAAAGATTATTAAAATGACAGTTGCCAGTGTAAACAATTTGCAATATTATCAGACTTTCTTTTTCCTTTATAAGTGTCTAATGGAAGTTGTCTTTATCACACCCATAGCCTACA